CAAACTATCATATATATACATGCCAGGTGATTTACTTTAATATGCATCTACTCTTTCATATAAACACACAAATTGAAAAACTGAATTTTCTTTATTTTTCTGCATCAGCTCTCTAGTCGACCTACAAAGATATGTACTGCTCATGATTTGCACCGCTATCTAATGCACGTTTGTTATTTCTTTCTTACGTACCTCTAGCATTATAAACAATTTTTTATAGGCTGGTCTTTGTTTGGTCATGATTTTCAAAACTATTATAAAAATTACAGTGACAACTTCAAATGGGCATTGACAGGGCTTAACAATTGCTACAAAAACATAATAAAAGAGTACTTTTGAACAATTTAAGCATACTTGGGAAGCACGTGTTGAAATGACATTGACCGATAAGAATAAAACATTTCGAGTCGAAGTGAAAGTGTCTAGGTGGAGAGTAAAAAAGTTGCAAGCCGTGATTGACTAAGGAAAACAAAAAATTGGTAAAAACTTTTCAATGGCATTTCATTGAAATGTATTTTGAAAAGAACCCGTTTTCTAAAGAAATGTTATGTATTGTATTCGTGCACATCTCAAATCTGTCCGAACATGATTCAGAATTAGAGGAGCAGCCTATCACTATCGGCGCACCACATTTATAGAGAGTAAATTGCCACGATTCCAAGTAGAGAACTAAACGAATCTTTTTTGGAGGGCACTCATTTCAGGTAGGAGACTTCCACTTATGAAGTGTTGAGTGCGAACTGCATCCCCATGAAGTCAAACGTTGAACTATTAAACGTGTAGCAAAACATCTCTAATGAACCGTACAGCTAAGGTCATTATCAAAAAAAAATTGCTTTTGAATGGAGGGAACGCAGATCACTTCCCCAACCTTTAGCGACATTCCTGATCTGTAGTTTCGGAGAAAGGATCCAAGTTCCATTCTCAGATTCGCACTCAGAACAGAGCATATATTTGCTTCACAGCTTTGAGAATGTTGCAATCTTTTGGAAGCACGCAAGAAAAGCTGAAAACTTGCTAAGATAAGCTCAACAAGGGCTTTATTTTTTTGAACCTTTGCATTTTCTCACCTACGCAGGATCTGCTGCCAACTGTCTCCAGTATTCTCAATTCAAAGGACGATGTTCAAAGCTCTCTTAGGTCGGCTCTAATCCTGTCCATCCACATGATCTTTGGCCTTCTACACGGTCTTTTTCCAGCGACCTTCAGAGGCTTACCACTGCTGTGATGTGGGTCTTATTTCTTCTACTCACATGCCCGCACCATCCTAGTCGTTTTTCTTGCATCTTCTTAGTGGTGGAAGCAACTTTCATCCTAACCCGACATTACAGACATGGTTTAGCAAGGTGATATCTTTTGTCCACCGCACTATTCATCTCTTCATGGCACCAAGCTTGTGTTCTTCATTTCGTGTACTTGGCCAACATTCACTATCATGCTGCACTATTGGACGGATCATTGTACGATATGCTCGGGATATATTTGCATGCCATTCGCTCACATAGAACTCCTGCGAAGGTCCTCCATTTTATCCAGGCTGCGTTTGTCTAGCCGATGACTCACTTGAAGTCCTCTTTCGCCAGAGATGCGACATCCTAGGCATTTGAAAGTACTCGTCTTTTTTGATTGGCTCATAATCGATTTATCTCCATATACTCTGTATTTTTCGTGTCGAGCTTCAAGCCGCGCAACCCCAGTTGGTTGTAACGCACTGCCCAATAGGCAATTTGTGTTGACGTCTCAACTTGTATACGTAATGAAGTGTTTATGTTTTTTCAGTGTCGTTTTGACTGATGCTAGATTGTAGGCTGTAGCGAACTCAAGAATGCGCTTCCTTCTTCAATGCATGTTAAGTATCCGTGCTTCCCGTGACACCTTCCTGCACTGTTTCTTTTCTCCCCACATGACCATTTAGGTCTGCTCCAAGCAGAGCACCACATTCTGTGGTATGGATGTGATGTAGCCGTCAAGCTTCTGCCAGAACATGCCCTTTTCTTCCTCTTTGCACAAGAACTGCGTAGCATAGGCGACAATTCGATGGATTTTCCTCCCAGTGTCGATTTTTAATCAATCAACTGCAGCAATCTTGCTTCTTAGGCTTTTGGAAACAGCTATACCTCTCCATTTCGATTGCCGTTTGAGCCATTGTAGAGGAGCTTGAAGTCGTTTTTAAAATTGCGTGATTTTCCTCCCTGCCTTGCTTCCTGCACGCAGGCTATCCATTCGCCGTTTCTCAAAAGGTCCGCCAATTTTCGATGTCGTACAGGTGGTCCGACTCTGATGATAGCTAAGGAGCGCCTCTGAGTTTTCGGATACTTGCCTACAAAGAGCTAGCATTTCTACCTGTCTCCGTTCGTAAGACGGTGACCTTTGTTCGCTATTCGCACTCGTGCTTGAGTGCGCGTCGCTTTCGGGGGTAGCTTTTACTCGCAACTGTTTATTGGGCATTTAACTCATAGGATGCAACGGGATGTTTGTCGCAAGCCCCTGAGGGGCAGCCTGACACTGCAATTTACAGGCAAGAATTACGTGTCAGTGAGAAATCGAAAACACGGCCTCATCGAAGGAGCTCTTGGAAATGAAGAGTATTAACCACTCGGCTAACTCTGCTTTCAACAAAGGTCAGTGGATCCAAAATCTTGGCTGCCAAAGAAGGCCACACTGACCACTATAGCATCAAAAATAGTGATTTTCCTTTACCTTCATATTTTGAGTGAATTATTTGTTGACCCACTATAAAAAATCATGAAAATTTCTGTTAAATTTTTACATCTCTCTAATCACTTTGAGTACTTCAATGAACTCAGCATTATAGCCTCTGCAGCGCGTTTCATATAAGCTTAACATCTTACACTTCATGGTGTTCAAATATAAATGGCGCACACTGATTGTTTTGTTTCTCATCTCTTTCTGACTTTGAGACTTCATGGCATCAGTCTCGACGCTGTCAAACGCTTTTCCATAGTCAACGAAGGTTAGGACGAGAGGTAGGCGCTACTCTCGGCAAACCTCGATGATCCTCGAAACTGTCTGGATGTGATCCAGCAGCTGAATCCCTTGCGAAATCCAGCTTGTTCTACAGATTTAGCTTCATTCAGTATCCTTGATATGCAGATGAAAATAATCTTTAAAGAGATTGTAAAGCACGCTCAGCAGGCATACTGGACGGTAATTCAAAGATCCTCCCATCGCCCTTTTTACGAAGGAGGATGGTGCGGAAGGTTTTCCAGGGTCAGAGATCCTTTCTTTTTGAAGATAAGACGTTAGGTGTGCCGCTTATATCTCTTTTAGTCGATGGTCTCCACCTCGTAAGAAGTCGGCCGAAATATGGTCTGGTCGAGCCGTGGCTCCCTTTATGGTCTGGATTGCGGCGCGTATTTCAGCAGGTAGCATCGAAGAAGGTGTCTCTTCAGTGGGAATAATAGGGTATGACAAGGGTGTTGATGAGCGAAAAAGATCGGTATATAATTTCTTTGTGATCGATCCATCTTCTGTCGGGATGATGTGCAAGTCCCTAGTCTTTGTTTAGTAATATTGTCAAGGAAACACGATAGTCAAGAAGGTTCCTGCGGTGCTTCTTCAAACTTCTCCTTCTTTGTGCTGCTTCCAAAAGTTCCGATTGTTTGTACTTTCGAAGAGCTTCCTGCAAAGGTGGTAAGTGGTAATGGCTAGCAGTCACTCGAGACGCGATGCATTCGGAACTAGCTTTAGTGCTCTCCTCCTTCTAGCAAATTCTAGATGGCTCTTAATATTCGTTCCAAGCTCCTTGAGGCATTGAGGCAATTTCATTGCAGGACCTCAGTCCTCTGAGAAGCAGGTTGTAATCCTGTGTCCTCCCGATGGGCCAGTCACAGTGGTCAGGAGCTCGTCCACTTTTGAGTTATATACAGCTTCTCTCCTTCCTCCAATACGGTGACAGATTTTCTTTTCCAGTTTTGGGCCTAATCGCACTTTTGCGAAGCACCGAGACGGAATCTGAACAACTGTTGAAGGATGTTACCACTAAGACGCCGTAAGCACCACCTTCTTGGTGAGAATGTGGTCGATCTCCGCATGAGTCGTACCTTTGAGTGACTCCCATGTCCACCGCCAGTGTTTTCCTGTAGATGGAGTTGCCTAGAAGAAGTCGTGCGCGGATAAGAGCCCAAACGGTTACCACTCTCGTTCCGAAGTCCTGATCCAAATCTCCCGATCGTGCTCCTCTTCTTCTGGCATCCCGATTTCCGCATTGAAGTCACCCCAACAACTTTGTAGAAGGACTTCTCCTTGCGGATTACTTCCTCCAAATTCTAAAAAAACATCAACTTCACCGTCATCAGCTGCTGATGTTAAAATAGCAGTCGTTAATAGTAGTTGTTTCTTGGAGGACGGAGTCGAAGAATAGCGAGGCGAGATGATAGGATCAGCAGATGGGTGTACGACAAATCCAAGGAAGCCAACGTTCCGTGATGAAACTTTCTCACCACGAATGGTGAGTGTGCTATAACTCATCTGCTTCACATCCGTCTTCCTTAACTTTGTTTTTTACGTAGTAGTTGATGCGCCCTACGGCTTCGCAAAGGACGTGAAGATCGGCGTTGGTGGAGACTGTCCTGGTGTTGTAGGTGCGAAGCAGGGACAATCTCAACGGCGAGTCGTTGGCGTGTCCTTTGGTCCAAACCGCCGCGTCTTGTGCAACCTGACACTGGTCTTATGACATCCGACGCCGGAGATGTGATCCAGTGTAAATAGCTTCTTTTCCTTCTACATGCTGTACAGGCAATAGTTTTCTCCGAACTTAGCAGCCAGGGCTTGCAAAGCGTTCACCCAAGCAATCGCTAACCTATATGGTTCAGGGAACCACCTAACGACTGAATGAGCCAGAGGGTGGGGGCTTCTGGCATGACCTATCCTTAACTGGGCATCCGGGTAGCCGAAAACGTCGAACTCCTTCTCACCTTGGGAGACCCTGCTGGAGGATCAGTCTCTGCTGTACTTGGCAGCTCGACACCCAGAGTTACCCT